TTGCTATTAGGTTGGAGGCCATTGCTCTTAGGTTGGAGGCCATTGCTATTAGGTATTGAAAGGCATCTTTGGTTTGAACATGTTAGAACTGTTGTCATGCCATGCCATGCTGTTGAGATTTGCTGCCACTGAAAGCACCACACCTCCTGCAGCACTCGAGGACGCCGCTCCTCTGACGCATGATGAAGGTCCAAATATGTCAAGCAACATCTTGAATGTCTCATGCAACTATCCTTCGACTTCAAGACATGTCACATCATATCCACGCAAAATCATGCAAATCCCTCATGGTTTGTTGGTTGGTGCAGCTCAGATTCTTCCGAGGTCATTGACTGCCAGCAACCCTATTTGTAGTACTGCCAGCATTTCCGATGTCACGTTGGAACGTCCGGGACTTCACAGCCTTTTTGAACAACTTTGCATGCTTAAACGGCTTAAACTACCATGCTAAAGGGAACTGCACAGTCTGTGAGTGCAGATTGCATGCATACTGCGCTGCGACCAGTGTGGCAAGTTAAACACAATCGTTGGGCGATAGAAATACTTGCTTTACAGCACGTCTCAAGACAACAATTTTGGCCGCAAATCTTCAAAATTCGATTCGGAACATTTGTCGATCAACTGGACGACGGTATGATTGACACTCGGCCAGATTTCGACAGGAAGTTTCGCACCAAAACAGAACATGGTTCCAATAGGTTGCAATCAATGGTGTCATGTTGCCACGACTTCCCACGAATTCTGCCCGCACTCTTAATCCTCTTGGTTTTCGGACCTCAAGGAAACGTGACGGCCAACGAGAGCTGCAGATAGAATAAGAAAGCATACGAAAACAAACAAAGCATTCTTTTTCTTCTCACAGCAAATCATATACTGTTCCTATTTCTAAGCTGAGAGCTCCACGTCGACCGGCGAGGTAGTCGACGAACGAGGCAGGTACACAGCGCATAGCCGCCGCCATGCCCATTGCAACGCTAGCCATGCCTTCTGCGGCCTTTGCCTCCTTGTGGTCGTGGTGGACGTCGCCTGGGCTTAGAACATTTCGTGGTTTCGAAGAGAAAAGAAGGAAAGGAAGGTCTGTGGTTCTTGCAGGTTTGCCTGAGATTGGCCAGGCTCGACCCGCCCTGGGCTGCCCTGCGTGTCTCCAAAGGTTTCCCGATCAAACTCTCGGGCCTTCTCCCGGTCAATCTGGCCAATTCCGATTTTGTGCGTTCGGCTTTTTGTTGTTTAATCAGTTCTGTTTTTTTGCTTTTCGTTTTCAAACATCACTCAGAAAGGAGTTCCTTCGTGTATCGACCGTGGCTGATCTAAGTTTTGAGCAAACCAAGTTCCAGCCTTCGGTCTTTCGGATGTTCCAGCCCTCTCTGTGGCCTGAGTCGGACGCAAACAGTTGAAGGAACTGTTTTGGAACAATTCTGAAACCTTTAAAAAAAAGAAAAACAAAACAAAACATGTTTTTCACCTGTTCTTTGCCTTTTCTGTCAAAAAAACATATGATTAGGTCTTTTTCATCTGCTATGACGTGCGTATAGCTGCTGCGGTCTTCGCCTCACAGGAAATGTAATCGAAGAAAGACTTGGTCTTGTCATAGCCGTCTAGGGGTTTCAGGTCTATGCCTGGCAAGACGTCGACAACGTCGCTTGTTGACGATGACATCACAAATATTCATACTGAAAGCGCTCGTCTGCCAAAAGGGAGACAAAACATTGCTAACAGTTTTGTACCTAGTTGCTTGTAGTGCAACTTGTTTATGTTGTGTTTTTTGTGCATGTCTGTGTCCTTTCCCATTGAGAAAAAGGGACTTGATGCTAAGCCAGTGCAGGCATTTTCACCAATGGTGTGGGCAGTACTCGGAGATCCCGGGAGAACTCTTTCGAAAGCAGAAGCTTTCGACTTCTTCCTTTTCCTTTTCGTTCTCGTTTGTGCTTTAGATGTTTATCTTGTTGTGAGAAGCAAAGACATGACCCGCCGCTGCACCTGTGTCAGGATTTTCCAACTTCTCAAAGCGCTCGTTGGCGGCGTTCAAATCAAATTCCTGCCGGTGAACTGGAGGCTTTGTGAAACCCTATAGCCATTCGAATGCACGTTTTGAAGCACTCCAACCTCAGTCTTCAGAGGTCCACAAAAGAATCCGTCACTCCGTTGCCAGAATGCGAAATCACAAGCCCCGGCCACAGGCGCTCCGAGGCACACTCACGCTTGGTGGTGGCGTTCTCTTCAGGCACAAGCTCGCCAACCTCTTTGTCTTTCTGTTTCTTGCCCTGTTAGGGGTATGTAGAGATCGTCCCAGCTTCTGAAAACAGAATCTATGAGGTTGAGAATTTCTGAGGTTGGGACTGGAGCCCCATCATGTCGGCCCTGGCTGGCTTGGCAAGTATGATCCTATGGCTCTAGTCTAAGATTATTTCAGACTGCACATCACTACAACCAATATCACTACCAGTAGCTTCTTGTTACTAGTAGTGATGGCCTCCACCTTAGTAGCTTCTGGTTACTGAGTTCTTTCTTGTTTAGGGCGGGGGGAGCTTCCGTGAAGAAGTGTGAGCTATCCTGCGTCCAAGGTAGTAGCTTACTTGTAGCTCCTAGCTACCTAGCTACTAGCTACCTATACCTCTAGCTAGGAGGTAGGTAGGCTACCGGCCTACCCCTCCAAAAAAGAAGCTTGTTACTCGTTTCTTTGAGAAAGAAATCCTTTTTTCCACACCTTCTAGGAGATACGAAACCTCTTGGCCTTGCATCGCTATCCACGTCGAATATCGTATGCTTTGCTGTCTGTGCCTTCTTTCCGAAGCCTGCGATGTGGATTTCAAAGACTAGAAGTCGGTGGCTTAACTAGAGCTGTGCATCAAAATGCCCGATCTCTGGTAATGACCCAGTGACTCTTGCTTCACGTGCTGTCATCTTATCAACAAACCATCAACACTGAAGTCTCAGGGAAAAATGGGCAAAATGAGTGCTCACAAAGCATCCGTGCTTTGTCCGGTGGTGCCTTTTCCGTCTTTTCCAAACTTTCCACCCTTGGCTGCCGGTTTGGCTGTTCTGCGGAAATTGCACCCATCTTACTGTGGGATCTAGATATACTGTATGGTAGTACGCCTTGCAAGTGCATCGTCACTACCTAGTAGTCTCAGGCTACCAACAAGCAACTCGCGTGGTTGCTCTGATTGTTCCACCACTTCTCAACTCTTCAAACTCTAAGCACATCCTCCAAGATCCCATAAGCTGAGCTTTCTTATGGGCATCCAATGCGTTCTTGTAACTGGTCTATAAGAAGGAAAAGAACGATATCTAAATAAACATATGTATATAATTGTATATATATATATATGCACTTTATTTTACATAGTACGCAAGAATTCTTGTTGCTAGCACGAGGTGGTCAAGTCCAAGACTGAATGCCATACTCAGTGTCCAACGCCTTTTCCGCCGCGGTCTCTCTCATACTTTCCTTTTCCCTGCCAGTCTGGCTTCTGTGTCACTCGAGTCACTCCCTACTCCCTTCCTTTTCAATTGTGGCCCTTCACACCCTTCACCCTTGGCCTTAGCCTGGAATAAGCACAAAACAACAACGGAACACCTTCATCCAGCAATTCCAACCAGCTAGACAAAACAAGTGTATTCGCATTGAGCAACAAGGCTTTTGACCAACAAGACCCTGCCATCGGACCCACATGTTTCCACCAGACTCAGCGCCTTTGTTTTTCCGCCATCCTTTCCGTAACCATCTTTGCCATAGCCACCTCCGCCTTGGAAGGAAAACCCTGCGGGGGGCCTCTGGGTGTAACACTGGGGGGAGATTCGGCAGAAACAAAATGAAAAGAGTTCATTTGAAAAATATCCTTCAGTAGGTAGTACTGACTCCAAAAATACCGCAACACCACAGGTTACACTACTAGGAAAATTGTAGTGACATTAGCAGTAGCAGTAGTAGTAGTAGTAGCAGCACCAGCAGTAGTAGTAGTAGTAGTAAGATTAAGGTAGCGCTCAGACCTTGGTCAAGGTGACTTCCAAGACCTGCGGCCCCTGGGACTACCCTCAGGTTGGACGACGTCTCAGTGCCATGCGTTGCTGGTACCCTCCATAGCCTAGGCAAGGCGCTAGTAGCGTCCTTGTTACTACTAGTAAGGCACTTGTTACTAGAAGCGATGCACTTGTTCCTAATAGCTTCTTGTTACTACTAGTAAGGCACTTGTTACTAGTAGCGTGGCACTTGTTCTCAATAGCTTCTTGTACGGGAGCCAAAAAAAGCAAAGCCCATGGTTGCCCCAGTGTAGGGGCAGGAAAAACACTTGACCATTGCATTCTACCAATCCTATTCTACTTCGGATTCTAATTCTAATTCCAATTCTTGTTTCTATTAGCTTCTTGTTCCTAGTGCTGTAGTAAAGCCAGGAGCCCCTAGTAGCGTCCTTGCTCCCAGTAGCGATGCCCTTTGCTCCTACGGTTACTACAATAAAATATGCTGACTTTCAAATAGCCGAACAGGTATTTTAGTGTAGCTCCGTGAAGGATCTGCTGGGGCCGCCCAGCCATTAAAACATGCGGAAAAGACATGCGGAAAAGCACTTTTTTCCTAAGTCATTTCACAAACTGGCCTTCACCGGTCCTACGTGGAGGCCTTGGCCGGTCCTACGTCAAGGCCTTCACCGGCTCTACGTGGAGGCCTTCACCGATCCTACGTGGAGGCCTTGGCCGGTCCTACGTGGAGGCCTTCGCCGGCCCTACGTGGAGGCCTTCACCAGTCCTACGCGGAATTCACCGGCCCTACGTGGAGGCCTGGCTGTTGGCGGTCCTACGTGGAGGCCTTGGCCAGCCTGTACCGGTCCTACGTGCCTTGGCTGGTCCTACGTGGAGGCCGAGGCCTTGGCCGGTTCTACGTGGTCCTGCATGGAGGCATTGGAGCCCCTCACCTGGCCCTACATAGAGGCCTTCACCGGTCCTACGTGGAGGCCTTCATCCTACTTGGAAGCCTACGTGGAGGCCTTGGGAGGCCTTGGCCGGTCCCACGTGGAGGCCTTACCCCATGACGTGAGGCCAGCCAAGGCCCCCGCATAAGGCCCGGGAATCCTGCTATGTAGTGTTGATTGTTGTGAGTGATGAAGGAACTGCACATTAAAATATGCGGAGCCGCCCGTCGCCCCCAAACATACGAACAAAATAGGAATTATACACTACCTCGTAGTAGCGATGCCGTTGTTCCTCTACCTTCAGTTGTCAACAGCTTCACCTGGAAGGTCTCGCCACAGTTCGATGAAAGTTCCCAAAAGATCTCGTCACTGCCAGGCAGCCTCGATTGCCATAATCGCCATAGCTGCCACGGTAGCCGCCGTCATAGCTGCTGTAGCCATCGCCATAGCCGGTACCTCCGTAGCCTGCAAGAGACTTTGATAGCTTCTTGTTACTAGTAGTAAGAATGCTACTAGTAGCCATGCCAGGAGCCCCTAGTAGTAGCGTCCTTGCTCCTAGTAGTAGGGCCAGGAGCCCCTAGTAGCTTCTTGTTGACTTTGCGTTTTTGGGACCTTCAGGCCTTTTGTTTCTCCTCTTTCTTCTTAGCTTGATGGCTTTGGATTTTGCTATATAAGTGAAATATGTGAGGTTGGCCTGACCCAAACATTAGGGCTAAACTGGATGGAACAGCTGTCTCAAAATGTGCAGAGACGTCTCAGTCTCACCTGCTGACTGGCCCTTCTCATAGCCGGAGTTCCAACCTCAGAAATCAAAGCCATGACATGCCATGACTGCACAAAGAAGATTGCGGGGGCAAATGCGAATGAAAACCAGCGATGATGAAAAGACCGGCGGTCTTCTTATGATAACCAATCATGTCAACTTCGCAAGAACGAATCCTTCACCCGATTTGGGCTTCCGGCCTTTTCCCGTGGGCTTGGTAGGCTGGGCCTCGTCTGTTCGCCGGAAGCAGCATGCTTCTAGCTCTATGCGGAAACATGAAGCAGAAATAAGTAATTCTCGTTCAAGAGGTATCTGCCGTTTGGTTTCTTGTTCTAGATTCTAAAACATCTGTGTAGATTCTTCGTGCAAGGTTTTGAGAATATCTTTTGAACTACAGTAAGTGTACGTGTATTGTATCTGAACAGACCCGTGTTTGAAGCAATGTGTTCATAGGTCCACGAAGCTGGCTTTAAGGTGGTTCTGCTAGTCTTCTGGCGAGCGGAGATGTTTCCATCACAAACCTCCTGGACATCGCGCCCCAACAAAGTGACTATGCACATTCTGCACACATTCTGCACACATCTAGGAACAAGAAGCTACTAGGGGCTCCTGGCCTTACTACTACGAGTAGGAGGAAAGGATGCTACTAGGAGCAACAAGAGATTCACTGGGTTGAAAACAAAGTTTGTAGACTGGTCCAACTCTGAGGCTCGAAACCCAGGTCGGAGCTGGGGTCCAGTCACTCCTGCCACCCTTCTCCCAACCTCGACACAAAGATGAAAACAGCCATATGTTGCAGGCTGTTGTCGTCAATCCCAGACTGAACTCTTCAAAAACTTGTCGATCTTCTAGTGGATGGCACCAAAGGCTATTGCCAGTTTTCGGCCGCATTTTGCCAAATTTCAGCTATCTAGCCAGTGCTCCAGAATCATTTCTGGCAGTCATCTTCCTAAGTTGAAAGGAGAGCCAGCAATCAATATTGTTCCGGCCGCCCGAACATGGAGACCTTTTGCACGCAATTCTGCAGACTGCAAACATATTTGTCGAGGGATAACAGTTGCCAAGAGTTAACAACTTTGGCACCTTCCAGTGCTTCTCAGCATGACGCTGCAAGTGTTCATGTTTGCTCGCTTTGGGTGAAATCAAGCCGATGACAATCACATGGCCGCCATGGCCAACCGATGGCCTGTATTCCAGGATGGCAATGCCGAGGCTCCAGATGACTTGCCGCCCCCTCAAAGAACGACAACTAGCAACTCAGTCGTTCTGACAGCATGACTTGATGAAGTCAAAAAGTATCTCACTAATATATGTAAAAATATAACATATATATATATTATATATATATTATGTATCAAAGATTTTTGTCCGAAGAGAAAGCTATTGGAAGCATTCGGGAAGAAAGCTGAATGCTTCTCCTTCACTCCCATTCGCTTTCTTTCACTCTCTTTCACTCCCTTCGCTCCAGTCCGCTCTTGAGGCTCTTGCATTGCGGAGCCGGAGGGTATTGTGGGGCAGGTGGACTGCCCTTCCTGGCCGAGACCAAACAAATCTTGTCGCAAAGCGTGTCGCAATGTGTCGCAAAGCTAGAAGAATGCAAAACAAAGCAAAGAAGCAAAGCGTGTGACTTTGTCAAAGCATAAAGTATTCCAAAGCTCGGAACGTTGCACTAATGTGACTGGTTTGATCTACGTGGAATCACAGCTACGATTCAAACATTCAATGACCACGGTTTTGTGTTTTACGCCGTGGGCGAGCAGCAAGGCCGGTATTTGGGCAGCGGTCGTGGTCCACGGCGGGTGGGGTCACGCTGGCCGCTGGCGAATTCCTCTGCCGTCCAACCGAGCTCGGCCAACTTCACCTCGTGATCCTCCTGCGGTCAAACACCAAGGAACAACGGCATCGCTACTAGTAACAAAGGGCATCGCTACTAGGAACAAGGACGCTACTGGGGCTCCTGGCCTTGATAGGAACAAGAACGCTACTAGGTTGTTCATGGCCGGCCTTGCTGTGTCTAACTGTGCCCCTTCTCATGCCTGGAACAATCTATACAAAGACCTGGGTGTTCTTCTTCGAAAGGTCTTTGATAGCTAGTTTTCGGGCAGGTCTTGGGAGTGACGACACAAAGCAAGTCGGCTGAGGAGAAGGAAAACACGACGAAACTAGGAGAGAATAGGTGGACCATAGAGCATTGCTTCTAGGAGCAAGAAGCTACTAGGGGCTCCTGTCCATACTACTAGGAGCAAGGATGCTACTAGTAACATCTAGGAACAATCAAGCTACTAGGAGCAAAGGGCATCGCTACTAAGAAAAAGAAGCTACTAGGCTTGACCATGGTGGACCACATCGACACGGTGGTGCACAGTGGCACGTCTAATGACACGTCTAATGATGACACGTCTAATGATACCTCATGAAGTCGATTCAACTCGACATCGCCTCTGGAACACGGTGGCGGGCTTTCCACTTGTTGAGAAGCTCAACCTGCAAAATCCCGACATGGATGGCCTACAAGTGGTTAGACAACACACTTGAGATATTGTGTACGGAACTGAATGCGGTGCCACACGCCGGCCTAGGGTTCCATTTCCTAAGAGTACCAGTAAGGACCATCGGAGCCTGGAGGTCTTAAAAGGAAAAGAGGCCAAAGTCTCAAGGCGACGACGAAGCGACAGAGTGACGACGGTCGTACTTGTCTGCCGAGTGAGGTTCTTGGCTTAGCCTCATGCCATGCAGAAAGGAAGGAAAATTCGCAGGTACGTCCAGCTGGCCAAGCTGGATATCCCATTTCACTGGTAGCTTCGTTGGACACAGTCCCAGTGAAATGCTGTGTCCCCCTGCAGTAAAACAAATGCAAAAGCATCCCTATGACTCCAAGGGTGGCACACACACACACACACACGGTCACATGGACAATTAAAAGATCGCAGGATACTTCAAACCCTTTTATGCTCATGCAGTCAGCCCAAATGCTCAGCAACTAAAGCGTCAAACTGAGGAAATATGTTCTAACAGGGATCTTGACAAAGAACCTGGTAGCCAAAACTTTGTTTGGCTAAAGACTAAAGTGTTTTCAATTCGTTTTTCTGTGCTGTGCTGCTGTGCCTCCTTGGCATCTACCTTGCCGTCCGCCACAGCCAACTCCAACATAGCGCTGTAGGTGTTCCGTCGGTGCTCGTGGTGACTTCCCCGGAGCTTTCCCCACAAATCCGAGATCTCCGCACGGGTGGCCGCCTAGAAGTGAAAGTCACATGGAAGAGTGGCGCTTGTTGGGTACTACTAGTAGCTTGTTACTAGTAGCGATGCACTTGCTGGTCTTATTGTTGTACTACTTCCTGCTTGTTGATTTTGTTGACTTCTTGTACTTGTCTTATTGTTGTACCGTGAGCTCACGGTAGCTCTAAGAGACAAGCAGTCAGAATTCTCGCCAGATTCTCGCACCAAAGAAACAATTCAAGAGCCTCTTTCCTCAAGATTGCTTCTTCTATCTTTTTTCTCTTTCTCTTTGCTTCTTTCGTTTGTCCCTAAGGCCCTTCGGTTTCTTCCTTCTGTCCTTCCGCGTTCTCTTTCGGCCTCAGCGAGGCCTGCCTCCCGGATCGCTCGATGCAGCGAGTCGATCTCCAGCGTCAGGAGCCGACAACGTGGGGCGATGCATTTGAACGACACCTCCACATGGAGCGATGCCCTAGTAAGGCCAGGAGCCCCTGGTAGCATCCTTGCTCCTAGTGGCGATGCCCTTGCTACTAGTAGCCTCTTGATACTAGGTGCTATAAATAAAACATGTGCAAAATTGTAGATTTCAAGATTGAAGAAGAATGGAAGAAGGACAGAGAATCTAGTTGAGCAACAACAAGACAACCCTTGAACAGGCAGATTTCCGAGAAATGTGTCACTGTGAGCACTGATGAGCACTGATGAGCACTGATGAGCACTGAGTTTTGTCCAGCCCTGCTTGGTGGAAGTGCGGGGTCGCCCAGTGGTCTTCGGGCTCAGCAGGGTCGAAGAACTCTCCGAGCCAGCTGCCCTTGCCCGGCACGATATTCACCACCTTGTCCTGGGACGGAGTTCAATGGGTGGTTTGCGGGCATCAACGTGCTTGTCGACGGTTCCGTGACCGTTCACAGTCAGTGTCTTTGAACCGATCTTGACTGTGAACTTCTTGCGATCGATTCGGAACTCGCCAAGATCTTCGCCAAGAGTCGCAAAGACTTGAAAACATGACTTTTCAAGAAATAGTAACAAGAAGCTACTAGGAACAAGTGCATCGCTACCAGTAACAAGTGCCTTACTAGTAGTAACAAGAAGCTATTAGAAACAATAAACAAAACGGAACAAGCAAAGCGCCAATACTCGACATCGTAACCCACCCGTACCTCACCTCAGAACCGTCAATCAGCATGACCTTCCCATCCAAGAGGTAGTGAACCCACTTCTTGGGTTCTCCTGGTAGGCAGCTAGACATGTCTTTTTAAAGGCCCGTGGCCTCCTTAAATAAGTAGGCGTCGACTTAAATTAGGAAGCCAAGCTAATAGGAAGCCACTAGGAACAATGAAGCTACTAGGGGCTCCTGGCATCGCTACTAGGAGCAAGGACGCTACTAGGGGCTCCTGGCCTTACTACTAGGAGCAAGCGACGCTACTAGGAACAGGACGGAAAGCTCACACTTTTTCGAAGCTTCCCCGCTTGAGGCCTGGGGGAGCTTCGAAGAAGTGCTCGCACTATTCATTTGGTTCCTAGATGTTTAGGGAAACCTACTTATACTCCCCGTGAATTGAAAGGACGGAACCTGCACTTCACGGATGACTGACATCTGCATGTTCCAAAGATTTTGACACTTTCAGAAGGATTGAAAGCAAAGAAAACTAAGGGCAACGCTACTAGTAGCAAGGACGCTCTAGGGACTCCTGGCCTTACTACTAGGAGCAAGAAGCTACTAGTAACAAGTGCATCGCTACTAGTAGCTAGGATTCTTCCCCTTTTCCTTTTCCGTCCTTTTCGGCTTTTCCCGCCTTTGCGGCAAATGAACGTGCCACAGCGAGCCTCCTCAATTCGGCCATGTGCCGCCTCAAACAGCTTCAGGAATTGCCGAGGTGTAAAGCCATGGCCCATGAAGGCCATTTCGTATGCGGCCTTGACACAAAACGCAAAAAAAGAAAGTCATCTCTTTGTTGCTTTTGCAGGAAGCTGCTATGTGCTGATTGGATGCAAAGAGGCTCGGGTTTGCATGGTCGATGTTTATATAACTTTGTAAGTTAAAAGTGTTGCGAAGAGTTTTCTCGTTTGTTCCTAGTAGCGTCCTTGCTCCTAGTAGTACGGCCAGGAGCCCCTAGTAGCGTCCTTGCTCCTAGTAGCGATGCCCTTTGTTCCTAGTAGTTTGTTGTTCGATCAATGACAAATCTGAGACATGTAAGACCTGAGGCGGTTTTCGAGGGAGGCTTGCTCTCCAAATGTCCATCCAGGTGTCCACGTGCCTCGTGGTCAGCATCGAGTGTAATCCCCACTCGGTCACGCAGGAGCTGTGCAATATAATACCTCATCTTCACGTGTCGCAAACCCTTAAACATATGTCGCACTTATGTCGCATGCTCACATGTCGCTGACATGGTGCAGGTGGCAAGAGATGAAGAAGCCTCCCCAGGCTGCAGGTGCCCAGAGAGGCGATGGTTGAAGTAAGTTGTATGCGATGCCAAAGAGCGAGGCTGTCACTGACAAGCTCCGCAGCTGCAGCATGTCTTTCTGCCGGCCGAGCCGAAAAGAAAAGTAATTTGCTCCGTTCGTGGCGTCCGATCGCTCCTAGTAAGGCCAGGAGCCCCTAGTAGCGTCCTTGCTCCTAGTAGCGATGCCAGGAGCTCCTAGTAGCTTCTTGTTCCTAGTAGTTTAAAATACTCTTTGAACAAGAAGGCTCTCCTTTGCAAACTTCCAAACAACATGGCCTGATCTTGGGCTGAGTGTACATCAGACACGGACGATACCCCTTGCGTCCCTCTTCACGCGGCAAATGTGTTTATCGAGATCAAATGCATGTAGAATGCAGCAACTCTCGTGTGAACCCACTAAGGAACCCTGATGTGCTTCGCAACAATAGGTGTGGTTCGCTTCCAGCCTGGTTGATGGCCAGCAATACAATGCAGTTGCCTGTAAAACTGGCAAAGAACAAACAAATGCAACTCAAATCAAATCAAACATCTTCAGCCACGAAAACCGCAAGTACTTGAAGTACTGCAAGTGCTCACCGACCGAGTCGCCAATATGTACAAAGTAGTGACACTTGGTGGACCAGCGTTCCTTGAAGCACGAGAGTGCGTGAAGGAAGCCGCCACCTGAGGCCGACGAAAACGAGCCAACTTGCGACAGTGAGCGCAACTTCACCGTCACCATTCCAAGTAGCGGTACGAAGGAGGTACAAACATTTCAGGGTCGAATCCTTTCATTTCCATGGGCCGAACAAATTGGTTCCATAGTGCCCTTTCACAGTGAAGTCAAAGCAGAAGCAAAGCCCTGCCAGCTGAACCACATTGTCCGTTTGACACTTCGTCATTTCTAGGGACTTGGTGTAAGGGCTCGAGATTGCCGATCAATCGATCGGAGCCACTCGCGGCCCCAGACCTAACACAGGTCGCGCGTTTCCTTGCGGTCCGCCATTGCGTTGGCTAGGAGACCTCCACCTAGTCCTTCGTGGCATCGCAGGTTGAGAGCAAGACGAGCGAAGGCTCGGCTGGATCTCCAGAAGCATAGGTGCAAGAGCTGGTTGAGCAGAAAACTGCTCTTACGTGTCCTACGGGCTGGACGCCTTTTGGCCTCGCACCATACGAAGCCAATCTACCGTGTCAAGTGCCTGGATAGGATGTCATGGAAGAACCAGCAGAAGTGGAATCAACGTGCAGAAAGCTGGAAGCAATCATGGCCAGAAGCACGAGAAAAGAGCTCAGCAAAGCAAGAGGTCAAGCCAAAGGAGAAGGATCGTTCCAAGCAGGTCATCTACAGCCACGATGGGCGTCGCCTAGAGCTAAAGTTGCCTGGATCTGGATTATCCTCATCTACTTCAGCTGGGGCTCAGGCCGACTTGCAGAGCGAGAACAAGAAGTTGAAGGATGCGGTGCGCTTCTTAGCGAAGAGGGATGCAGAAGGATCAGGTGGAGAAGAGGCGCCGGAAGACATCAAGCGCTTGGTGAACTCCAATCCACGAGAAGAACTACGAGAGCAGCAGAAAGAATTGAACAAGATGAAGAAGTCCCTCGGGAGACTGGAGAAAGTCAAGTCGCAGATCAGTACCCAGCAGGACAGCTTTACGAGCTGGAAGGCTGCAATGATGGACATGATCAACGACGAGGAGAAGCGACACCAGAGCGAGATCAAGGAGCTCAAAGACGAGGTGGCGACCTTGGAGGAGAAAGATGGTCGCATGGACCTCGAATTTGGTGGCTTCCCCAAGGAGCAACGAGAGGTAATGACTCAAGAGCTGCAACAGTTCCGAGCGGAGATGACATCTTATGTTATGAGTCTCGAACAGCGGAATATGGATATGGCACAGCAGATGCAATTCCTGATACAGGCCGTGAAAGATGTGAAGCATACAGAGGTCTTGAAAGAGTCTCCGCAAACGGTTCATGCACCCAAGATTCATTTGCCAGAGAAGACACCGGACAGAACCTACAGGGAAGATCGTTCACGATCACCTTGCAAACGAAATGCCGAGAGTACGGTCGAAGAGATCGAGAACAAGACCGAGATCATGAAGGCACTCTACAAGATTCCAGTGAAGTACCACCAGACGATTACCGCCATTATGGAGGCCGAGCCAGAGAAGTACCAGACTCCTGCAAGTGTAGACTTGCTCTGTCAGCAAATGCTGGAGCAGGTGAACAATGGTGGAGGAAGGAATGGTGCGATGACTGGTGGTGCGAAGAAGGGCAAAGGCAAGACTACGGCAAAAGGGCCGCTGCAGCCCTTCTGGAGTTCCCACGAGTTGACCAAGCCCTTGCGAGAAGGGACATCTGGGGCAGAAGGGACCCCGAGGGAGGCCAGTCAGCATTCCGATGCATCGAGTGGCCTTTTCCACAAGATGGACGGCTAGGGGTGGCAGACGATGAGTATCCATTGGTGTGGTTCACTAGTGGGCTTGGGGTGTCGATGTCATCCTTTTTTCTGCAGTGCGCTCAATTTCAAAGCAGCACGCGTGAACTACCATATGAGCAGTTGCTTTCCGGGTGCTGTGTAGCGACTTTGAATCTACACACAAGTTGCTGTTCTGCTGGCAGACTACTCTATGAGGGGGGATTTCAAGAGGGCCCCCAACTCCTTTCATCTTTGCGTACGGATGATTTGTTTGAGACCTCCCATGAAGACGGTTCATCTATGCAAATGGTTGGCTGTATTTTCCTACTTCAATGGGGTCTTCGAAGCATTTCTTTCCTGCCTGTGCAAATCTTGGTGCTGATTTGGGCTCTGTCGATTGCTTGGGGAGTCACTCAAGGAGACCAAATCATTTGTGCTTGGAAGTGTATCTTTCGAGGAGGCCGGATCAATTGCTGTCCTACGTTACAGCTGCTATGGCCTTTCTTGTTTTCGCAGCTTCTTGGATTGCTCTGTGGAGGGGCTTTGCTGGAGTTTGCAAATGTGGAGATTGATGAGAAGGTATCTGGAGGGCTGCCATTGGCTGTCTCTATTGTGCGACTTCATGGTGCTTTCCTTTCTCTCTGCATCTTGGGTTTACTCTACCGAGGACGACTTGAGGAGGCACTCTACATGCCTGCGATGTGTCGATGGTGTGAGGGTCGTAGAGCTCTCAAGTATAGGAGAAGAAAGCCACGGATCAAATGGGCTGGGATCTTTCTTTTGCTCAACCTAGGTTGCAGTGAAGCCTCTGCTATCAAAGAAAAGGTGACCATTGGATACCATACCTTTGGCCAGAGAGAGGCCTTCCGTTCTTCCTTTGCCTCAGATGAAGGAGAACACCATTGCAGCAGTGATTGCCGTGGCCAAGTAGGAGAGAGCAAGTGCATGATTGTGCATAGTGATGCGATTAAGCTAGGTGTGAATTTCTCTCCTGCAATACTAAGCCGAGAGTGGAAGAGTGAGGGGAACTCGACTTCCACTTGCCGCCACATAGGATTCGGATTTCTGTGTGGATCGAATGAAGCTTGTCCTTCCCCTTGGCCTTGTGGGAATGATGAGATGCAGTGTCGAATAGGTTCCGACAACGAAGGCCTTTCCCGAGATTCCTGTGTTTCTGCTTCGTTTTGTCCTCAGGTCTTCTTGACAAGCGAGAAAGAATTGAGATTTTGTGAAGTAGAGCATGGGTCTTCTTGTGCACGGGGGGTTCTTTCGACTCCTTGTGCTGTGCGTGCCGTTAACCCACATTTTGCTGATTCTTTCGTTGATTCAGATAGTGGGAATTCTAGTAAGAAACAAAGAGAAGAAGAGGCTTTGGACCTTGCTGTTGACTGGTCCCCTGATGAAGCTTTTTTGATGCAGGTGAGTCCACCGATTGAGGATTTGGTGGCACAATACATTAGGACCCACGCTCTGAATTTCCGTGATACCCAGCTTCTTGTCTGGTATCACCCCGCTGAAGCAATACGGCGCCTGCAAGCCAACCACCGCTATGTTGCGTATAACCATGAGTTGCCAGCGGGTGCACAGGCGAGAGCCAGTTGGGCGAACATGCTTGGACGAAGGCCATGCTATGTGCATCCTGTTCGACCGGTCCCGCCTCACTTACCATATGATTTGCCGCAAGTCATCGTGACCCCTGTCAGGCATGAGCATTTGATACCTGTGCTAGTTGATTATCGCTCAAGCCTAACCAGTCTAAGGGGGACTTTTCTTCTTGGGACCAGGGGAACGCCCTCTGTTTACATGGCATTTGCTCAGATATATCCTGCAAATCAGTGTGTCTGGGTCAATGACTGTTTCATCATACTGCAGAGGAACGCTGGACCGGAACATTACCAATGGGGTCAGACTTTCCCGGTCTTCGAGGGTCTCTACTTCATTATGATCGAGCAATCGCCTGACTCAAGTACGGGCTCTTCGACAGATGGAGGCTCAGACGAGGGGCGAGACAGTGAAGTGGTTAGTGATTCAGATGAGTCTTATGGTTCGTGTTCTGCTCATGATAGTGATGACAACTATGAACGTACTGTAGGAATGGCTCTAATGCAGACTTCCTGGGAATTGCAATTTGCATCAGAAGAAGCGTCTTTTCGTGAGGTTTTAGGTCTCCAAGCTCCTGATGCACAGGGGCCAACAACTTGGCAGCCTCCCTTAGGGATAGTGCCTGTTGATGGCAAGCCCGAACAGTCTGACCGTCTTGAATTGATGTTGGAAACACTTGGGCTAGTGGAGAGAGGGCAGACTCTGGCAGCGACCACCTGGATGACAGAGCGGTATGTTGCTGTTGTCCCTAGACTTTGTGTCTATCAGCCAAAGAGAAGCATGTCTAAGAGCTTCATGATAGGCTGGAAGGACTTTGAGGAGTATGCCCCATTCTGGGTTGCTTTGGTATCACCCACCCCACAACCACTCACTTTTCAAAGACAGCCTTTGCATCTCGCTAGTCTCACACGAGAGCAGAAAGAGAAACATCAAAGGCTCTTTCTTGTCGACATTGTCTTCAAAGGTCTGCCTCGGAGAGCGGGAGTCCTGGCTGACACCGGGGACACAGTACGACAGATTGTGATCAAGTTCCAGTTAGCGCATCTCTGCTCTTTGGAAAAGTACCAATGCGTCCTCAGGCAGGGACGAGAGGGCATTGTAAGAACATGGAACTATTTTGATGTTGTCGAGGAGCCACACGGATCCAGCTTCATGCTGCTATTTGAGGATCGCAAACCAGAAAGATGTGAATGCACAGAAGTTGAATCTGATGAAGGTCAGCTGATGCAAACGTTCGCATACCCAAGACGTTCGCCATTGCAGACCTATCTTCAAGAATTCACTCGTGAGTATGTCCGGGTCTCTGTTTGGGTGCATCATAGTGGCGCTGAAATTGTTCAGACTCAGACTGCTGAATGTGCAGTTGATGTGCGCCGGGATGTGGAATTGCAATGTGAAGAGCTATGGGTTGGAAAAGGGATGCCTCGTTTCAGTAGGATCACTGAAGTCAGCCCTCCGCCCATTCTAATTGCGATACCTAGGCCGCATATCATTGTCTCACGAGCCTTCGATCCTGATGATCTACCGTTGCTTTGCCAAGCTAATGTTGACGGAAGAACTAGCCTGATGACGGTTGTAGCTAGAAGTCAGCATTTGTCGTTCCAAGTTGCAGGGCTTTTCGATCTAGTGATTCCGCAGCATGATTGTGAGTATAGGTCGGAAT